GACCACTTACTCCAATAAATTGAATCACGTTCGGGCTAAATTAGCTCCTTAATGTTATAAATACCATTGCCAAATTACAACAAAATTAGGTAAAGGATATTTAAGATATTTACGAATAACTTTTTTTTTTATTTTAACACCCTGTAGCTTGAGAACGAAGGATTTGCGGACCCATGTTTATATGAATATTTCGTCTTAAAATTACCTAAAGAATCGTCTGTTAAATTTATGGTACATACTTAATTAACACCCTCTCCCCCACCCTCTCATTCCATCATACACCAAAATGTACTATTTAGCTTGGTAGCGGAAGGATTACTTTTGTTTTGTGTTATAATATTACCATACTATTGGGGATTGAAAGAAGTGAAGTGAATTTTGATTGGTTTATTACATATCAAAGTGAATGGAACACAAAAACAAAGTGAAATACACAACAAAGTCAGTAAAAAATACAAACAAGTGATTGAAATGCTTCTAAATTAAACGCTTATCTTCAAAAACACTTTTGGACTAATTGATTCACAAAAAAAAATACGAATCGAAAATAGTACTTGCATTATTAGGAAGAGTTGTGTCAAGAAAACCATTGCTGGAAAGAAATACTCCTCACTGGGAATTGGAGTGAGTAACTTCAATAAAAAGTGGCAAACAAAAGCCTTCATTTGAGAAACAGTACTCCAACTCCAATGTATAGATCCCGGACTGAGTCTTGGCCGGTGGGAGAAATCGTATCAGCGTAAGTAAAGTTTACGTCGGTATATGTATATGTGTATGCAATTTACTTTCAAACTCCATCACTGACTAAATACGGTCCTGAATTTGAATGTTTACGGCTTACATAATCTAACTGATAACAGATTTCTGCACATCTACTGCATATCTTGAGGGAGGGGCTTCTCACCGGTCATGACTCAGTCCAACAGCTGTATATAGAAAAATTATTCTTTCATCATCAATAATTACGCTGACGATTGCTGAACCGACAATCCTCAACGACGATTTAAAATTATTGCAATGACAAACATTGATATGCGATGATTAAATGAAATAGAATGATCGAATTATTTATTCGAGAATGAGAAATAAAATTAAATTGAATTCTAGGAATATTCTTTCATACTTGACACATCTCCCCCCTCACACTTAGAAAAGCTGGCCTCCAGCTTGAAGGTAATAAGTTATTAAATGAGTTTTGAAAAAAACGTATTCAAAACAGAACAAAATAATTCATAAAATCAACAGTTTTGGTCATAGGATTCTCACGGGCACTAAAAACCGAGTTCGGCACTGTTCACTTCAGTTCTGTCTGGGAAGACTGCCATAGCTACATTCCACTTACGTCGCAACGCCCTCTTGGTTGAATGTTCCATGAGCTGCAGTGTCGCCAACACAGCAAATGAAAATGATAATGCTGCACCCAGTCCGGTGTTGTGTACTTTTTTATGATACTCGAGCATAAATATTCTCAAGAAAGAATCAGGGCTGAGGGCCATGCACTATCAGCTAACAGTATCTGCAAAGGAAACCATACACTTTTAATAAAATATCATACTTGTTCATATCACTGAAAATGTCAATAACAAATGAAATTATATTGGGAGAGATAAGAAGAATTAGGCAGGAAATAAAATTGTTAACTGAAGCAGTAGAAGAGAAATCAAGTTTGAAATTGGAAGACTTAAACCGACGCATCAGCATTTTAGAGCAAGACAACGATAAAATCACGAACAACTTTGAAAGATTGGAAAGGAAATCTAAAGAAAACAATATTATTATTTTTGGTTTGAAAGCTAATTCGGAAGATATATCAGCAGACTTCATCAAAAAGGAATTTAAAAAATCTAGTCGGTGTAAACATTGTTGAAAGTGATTTAAATAATTCCTATCCACTTGGAAAAGCAAAAAACGCCCAATAATAAATGGAATTCACATCGTTTTTTATAAAGGCAGCCATTCTGAAAAACGCTAAAAAGTTTAAAGGTACCAATATTTCAATCGCTAGTGACTTGACAGTTGAACAGCGAAAGCAAAATCAGATATTAAGAAAACATCTCAACCTAGCAAAGGGATACAACGAAGAAATGGATAGCTATCTGAGAGACTTTGATATTGAACAAATAGAAACAAATACACACATCGGAATAGTTTAGGGATATTTTTTAAAATGGCAATAATTTTTTTTAGATCGCTTTAGGGAAAAAAAGTCGACGGGTGATTATTAAACGAATGTAACTTACAACAAAATTTATTAAATGGTCAAAAATACTGAGTGCGCATATAAGCAAAACTAAAAAAAAATATGGCNTCGAGTGTACCAATTTAATCGAAATTAAACGACCTCATGCATTTATTTTTATGATATTTAGTATGTTATAAAAATATCCGTAGACTTTTCCGATGTGTGTATTATCAGCGGTACTCTAGAGTATAACATGTTTTTCAGGAGCAGTGCAAATAAAGTGCAAATAAAAACTCAGATGAGTTGAAAGTTTTACTATCGGATATAATAAATATTTTTGATTTCATTGTAATCACAGAAACTTGGCAAATACCACATATATCTCTGATTAATATTAATGGGTATCAACTATTCTATAACGAAAGTTCCTTCAAGCAAAACGATGGAACAATTATTTTTGCGAAGGAGAATCTAAGCTGTATATGTGGTTAAACTTGAAATAAATATGTTGGAGTTGACCACTACTTTGAACAACACCAAAATATTACTAAACGGGATTTACAGGCCATGTCCAATATCTGAAAAAATCTTCATAAGTAACCTGTCAGACTACCTCAAACATTGTCAAACCTCAGATCTTCACATAATTACGGGCGACATTAATATTAAAAAAATAGTGATAACCATGTACAAGAATACCTGAATGTAATGGGCGAGGAAGGTTTGCTTAATAAATAAATGCACTAGGAATATACAGTGTGTGACAACGAAAACTTAACAGAGCCGTTTTTGATTATAAAAAGTATGATTTTTAAAAAAAGCTCGGACACGTCGGTTTCTAATTAAGGGGGGACACCTTTCAGACTAATCAGATTTTTTGTAGTACGCACCCCCTCGGAGGGATGCGTCCGACGACCCTTATTTAGATAGGGAAAGTAGGTC